AAACTTCAACCTTGGTGATTCCTAGGGATCTGTTTGACACTCAGTCTTACAAATGATTGGATACTATCACTATTCATAGAATCGTAGAATCTGTGTGATGTGGAAACAGGCCATTCAGTCCAACAAGTCCACACTGACTGTCCGAAGCACAACCCACCCCCCACCCCCGTAACCTTGCATTTCCTATGGCTAACACACCTAAATCAACACATCTCTGAATACTATAGGCAATTTAGCATGGCCAATCCACCTAATTTTTGGACTGTGGAAGGAAACTGGAACACCCAGCAGAAAACCATGCAGACATGGGGAGAATGTGCAAACTCCACAGTTGCCTGAAGCTGGAATTGAACCTGGGTCCTAGACACTGAGGCAGCAGTACATACTACTGAGCCATCTTGCTGCCCCAAACCTTAGTAATTCCACCTTGGTATTATCATCACATGGTGCTGATTAGAGCAAGTTATAATCAAGTCTGGACAAATTGTGTGCATTGTGTTTAGAACTGTGCACACGTTCTTCAAATGAATGCACATGCATAATGGACTGCAGCTGCAGGTGTCAGCCAACACTGCTGTAAAACTAAGGCAATTAGAGGGATTGACTCACTTCAGCCACCATTAGCTAAGTATCAGTCCTTCTCTTTAAATTGTGTCTCGTTCTTTGTGGACTTCAATATCAAAACACAATGCAATCATACTGATATTACCTGCCTTGAAATTTGTAGCTATTTGTCAGCTCATGTTACACCCTCTTGTACTACTGATAAGGGTCTTAGTTTTTTAGGCTATTATACTTGCTTCAATTTCAAAACTTGGGTGAATGAAGATACATGAAATTGGTTATTGCACAGCGACAAAAACAGTTTAAAATGTAGCACTGAGTTATATCATGCTTGAAAATCATGGCAGTGAGCTTTATGTCCAAGTAAGGCAGTTTTCAAAAAACAAAAGTGCCAGCAATTGTGGGGAAAAAAGATTCTCACACTGAAGCATGATAAATGTACATCAAGCAGGTTAGATATTTAACTAATCTGCCATTAAATCCAGGTGTTAAACACAGGAAAGTGCTCAAAGATTGCATTCTCAAATCAGGTGTACTACCAATTACAGAATAGTGGCAGAGTGGTAATCTCACTGGACTAATAATCCAGAGCACCAGGTTAACATTCTTGGGACATGGATTCAAATCCCATAATAGCAGACGGTGAAATTTGAATTCACTACATCTGAAATAAAAAGCTTGTCTAATTGCAACCATGTTGCCAACCCACTTAAATTGTTTTTTTTTTTAAAAAAAAACAACATTTGGTTCACTAATGTCCTTCAGGGAAGGATACCTGCTGTCCTTGCGTGGTGTGGCCTACATGTGACTCCAGACTCAGCTTCATTGTTAACTCAGCTGCATTCTGGGCAATTAGGGATGGGAAGTAAATGTTGGCCTAGCTGGAGATATCCATATCTCATGAACACATCCTTTTATATATTGAATTCCAGACATTTAATGACTTCAGTTAAGTACTGCTTGTAGTACTCAGACTACAGAAGTCCAGCCCTTCAGTGTCACTTTGAAGGGTTTTGAACTTGATGTTTTCCTATTCTACCAGATTAAGACAGTTGATTTTTTGCAATACAAAATATTCAGGGCAGCACCCTCCCTACACCTGAACTAAAACCAGAAGAATAGTTATATCAGCTCATAAGCACGTCACTGGATTGGATTTGTCCGATTAGGTTAGGCTCATTACTTTTCAGGTTTTAAATTGTGGTCAGAGACAAATAACTGAAAAAAGTATGAACAGAGTCACAATTACATTAAAAGTTGTAAAAATCTGACCACTCAAACGTGTATTTAACTAGACTAGAGCCAGTATTCTTAAGTTACGGAAGCAGATATTTTGGCAGACTCAAGTCAGTATTAAGTCACTCAAGAATTTTCAGGTTCACCAATGGAAGAGCAGTTTAAAGATTCAAACATGCAAAAGTCAGCAATTCCAGTCAAAGCATGCTACTGTGTATGTGATTTGCCCAGCACATTAGATCTGAGCTGATGTCAGCTGGTGCTGTAACAGCCATGTGTTTAATCATGGCCTTCACTGTTGTCTTTGTAGAGGAACTCATTCCTTCGCCACTTGGACTCCTACTGTGCACCTATTTGTCACATGCTAGAGAGTTCTTAATTTCTACACTCTTGCAAAATTCTGCTATCTCAAATGTTTAATTCATACAATTCTCAGTTACTCAAGAGCCTCTAGTGACAGAAGTAATTGGGAAGCAATAGCTAAAATCAAACTCTCCTGGCCCAGGCACAAGTACTGATTATAGGAGATCAAAAGTTCTTTCGATAACAATACAACAATTAAGTGTTTTTTTTTGCCAACAGTGAAGTCAGTTTAGCTATTGCCATCTCAATTTTAAAAAAAGAACTCAATTTGGATCCAGTTCTTTAACTAGGATGTATTGTGGGGGAGCTTTTTCTGCTCACCAGCATCTGTGCAATCCATATGGACTCTGCATCCTTAATGACAGAGTTTAGCCAAACAAGATACCAAGTTCACTGGTCAGTTGCTGCTGAAATATTATTAGAACCCACTACTAGCTGCAATGTGTAGCTGTTTGTTTTTTTGGTTTGAGGGGTGGGACGGTGGTGGCGCTAGTGGAAATTCAATGTTTACCACATTGTAGTTATCCAGACTTGAAATGCACATGGATCATGATGCTGAACACCCACAGGAATAACTGGCAAAAGATGACCAACAACTATTGAATTATACCCACAGGAAGGACCGAATAACACCCTTTGCAGAGTCTGCAATACCTAGTTATAGTCAAAGCCCATGTTTAACCATTTTAGGCAGGAGCACACAACATTCTTTCACTATAGGGAATAGTCCCAGCCTCAAGCTCACGTTTGATGCATTCAGAATATTAGCAATTCAAATTTTAATTAAAAAAAAACTGAGTAAATACTGTTAAACTCAGAATTCAAAAACTAAGATTTATTCTGGAAAAAAGGTTTTCACATTCCACTGCATACCCATAGGCCCTTCAAGTTTTAGCTCCTGCACATTGTTACAGAGTAAGCCAAGAGCATAGCATTCCAATGGCTTTCAAATGCTATTCAAGGTTCAATGATTGATAACAATCTTGTAGCAGGTTTCACAGAACAGGTCAGATTTCTGCCCACTTGCAAGACATTGACATAATAAAATGGATTCTAATGAACTGCAATGACTGGAACCAGGTTGGCATACTTATGTAAAGCAATATGTACATCTGTTTTACACAACAAAAACAGCCAACTAATCTGACAGAAGTCACACTTACTGTTTAGTCAAGTTAAAAACTACTTTGGCATGGCAGCAAGTTATTACATTAGGGTGAAATAGTGGTGTTAGTTCATGCAAAGCATTCAGCAGTCTACAGATGAAACAAACAAGATTGGGACAGTTAGCAGTACTGACAATGAAAATCAGTTAACAAAGATACCAATTTATGCTTGACCTCCAACCCATGCAGGGTTATTTTAATAAGCAAAATCACTAGCTTAACTGGGCTATTTTCCAACAAATATGGAGGGAAAAAGAGAAAAATAATTGGAATATGCTCAATATTCCAGTTAACCTAGAATCTTACTTACGTGAGTCTGGGCACTTTTCATCTTTCCCAGTTGCAAAGTCCTAGATTTAAAAGGAGCATTAAAATATCATTAGCCTGATAAAAGAAAACAAAAATCAAGGTTACAGACCGAGTTAAAATTGTTAAAGTTCAGTGCAGAGTAATAGGAGTAGAAACACAGTACGAAGTAAATTGAGCAATTGAGTGTATTTTAGGTACAATTAAGCTTGTTATGAACAAGTTACAATATAACTCATAAGCAGACATTCAGCTTCATGTGACCAGTGTGTCATGAAGCCACTAATACTGCAGCATTACAGAGCAAGATCCCAGATACTCAAACGACCCAACATCAAGGTGAGAAGATATAAACAAACAGTCTACTGTCATAACTCCACTCAGTGGAATGAATGCCTGAAAGTCAGGAATAAAATAAACAAACATGTTAAGAGGGAAACAATGTCAGGATGAGAAAATATTATGAACATTTGAGAAATTTTAAGCACAAATTGTCATAGGGGAATGGTACACCATTGCCACATGGCTCAGGCTAGAGAAGGACAGTAGAATATCTCTGGTTAATAACTATTCCAGAGACACAGGTCAGTCAAGAGAGGTATATCAAATTCCACTACAGCATTACAACAGAGACATCACTGTAATCACAGTACAGCAGTCAGTCAAGGACTTGTTACTCTGTTGGGGAGCACAGCATATGTATATTCCCAAAACACAGAAAAACTACAGGAGTAGAAACAAGTATTTTATTATCTCAAAATGTTCCAAAACATCTTACAAACAATGGAACAAATCTGAAGTTTAGAGCAGTTAAAATATAGAAAACATCAAAGCCAATATTTGCACAAGGTGCAGGGCTGGATGAACACAGCAGGCC